ACCAGCAACCAGCACCACACAAAAACAACAAGAAAACAACAAAACCAAATAGACCAGCAGAGAGAGAATGGACAGCCTACTTAGTACTGAATTTACTGAAATAAGTGCTTACTGAAAAAACATTGCATTTTCTCTTTTGTTTTGTGGTACTGGTTGAACCCAGGGCCTTCATGCTGAGCTATATCCCTTATCCATCCATCCACCCATCCAAGACAGGGTCTCACTATGCAATCCAGGCTGACGTTGAACTCACTATGTAGCCCAGGTTGGCCTCAAACTCATGGTGATCCTCCTGCCTCAGCCTACTGAATGCCAGGAATTCAGGTATGTACCACCACACCTGGCTAGTTTTAATTTTTCAGACAGGATCTCACTGAATTGCCTAGGCTGAGCCCAAACTTTCAGTTGTCTGGGATTACAGATGTGTGCCACTATGTCCAGATTTTTTTTCTTTTTTTAAGCTATTTTCTGTTGTGTTTTTTCACATATTCATTTGTTGTGCAGTGCTGGGAATTGAACCCAGGGCCTTGTGCATGCAGGCAGGCACTCCACCATCAGCCCATAGTGTGGGTCCTTATGGATGAACAGAGTGTGAGGCTCTGCCTGTCTTGTCTGTGCAGTGTCTGGGTCTGAATGAATCTGTGGGATCATCTGAGGCAGAGGGAGAGACACAGTGAGAGAGAGAGAGAGAGAGAGAGAGTGTGTGTGTGTGTGTGTGTAGCTGTCTGGTTGTGTTTCTGTTCCTGTGGTTTTTCTTCTTGATGAGCTGGGCTTCCTGGAATGTCCAAGTCACTGGAAATGGGTGCCAACATTAGGCTCCCCGCCTTTGAGTTCCCGCCTGCCACACCCCCAGCAGGGAGGAGGTGGGCCCAGGCTTTGCTGGGGGCTGAGCCAGGGCTTTGGCTTTGTCCTGGGCTGTCCTTTTCCTGTAGTGATGAAGATGCTGGAAATCGAGCTCCATGGTCACAGTGCATGAGAGAGTAGACAGACCAAGCCTTTTGCTGTGGGAGGGGCAGGTGGCCTGGTTGGCAGTCCTGGCCGACTGCCCACTGGTCCTTTCCTCTCCTGTCTGTTTCCTGCTGTCTGCCTGGGTTCCACTGGCCAAAAGCCCAGGGGGCAGGATGGTGGGGATGAGGAGTGTCCAAGGGGTCAGGATTAGCCAGATGTCTGCATCTGGCTTGTGAGTTTTTTTTGTTGCTGTTGTTTTGAGACAGGGTCTCACTATGTAGCCCAGGCCGACCTCAAAGTCAAGGTGATCCTCCTTCCTCAGTCTCCTGAGTGCTGGGATTACAAGAATACGTGACCACGCCTGGCTCAGGCTTGCGACTTGGCCCTGGACTATGGGATCTGCAGCTCGAGGCTGCTGCAACAGAGACCAGGGACATCAGGGGGCACCTGGAATAAAAAGAGGTTGGGACCAGGCACCCCAGCTCCTGCTAGCTCAGGCCCTCTCTGCCCAACCTGGCCAGCCCTGGATGTCTCTCCTCCACCCTCTGGGAGACACTGAGAACACAAGAGAGCCTGCAGGGATGGTGGCGCAACAAGGGAGGATGGAGACACAGCAGAGGTCCCCGGAGGAGGGGCTGCTCACTAATAGAAACCAGTTAGAAAAACAGGAGGAGTGGCCAGGCAGGGCCAGGCGGTTTTGAGGATGGCTGGGTGGGGCCTGTTTTTCCAAAATGAAGGCCCAGGGAAGAGCAGGGCTGGAGCCAAGCTCAGTACAATTCCAGTTTAGGAAGGGGCTCATCCAGGCCTGGGGGGCTTCTTTGTACTTATAGCTGGTCCTCCCTGTGTCCCAAAGCTCCCTCCCTATGCAGCAGTGGGTGGAGGTGGGAGACTTATCCAAGGACCTGGGGACAGGGTAGGGTTCAAGGATGCGACCCCTGGGCCCCAGAGACTGGGTGGTGTGGTTTTTTGTGGCTGTTTGATTTTCCCTTTTTCTCTTTGTCTTGAGGTCTGCCTAATGAGCAGGAGTGGGTTTGGTGCACAGTGCTTGGTGTGTTATTTTGAGTTTGTTTATGTGTCTTTGTAAGTTTTCCCAGAGCTTTTAAATCTGTGCCTCCTGTGGGAAGGAGGATCCCCTCCTTGTCTCCCCAGGATCTCCCAGGAGCTTCAGGGACACGAGGCCGGGCCCCAGCAGGTGGGTGCCCTGTTGGCCTCACCCTAGGGTCCTTGGCTGCTGCTCTGGGTCCTAGAGACCACCTGTCAGCAGTGCTCATCCTTTTCCTAAGTGAGCCCACTTCCCAGTCTAACAGGGAGGGAATAGGGTGAGCAGGCAGAAAGCAGCTGGGCTCCTGCAGGCCTTGGGGAGCAGGGTGCCTTTAAGAGGTTGCCAGAGTGGGGGGGCATGGGGCACTCATCCCAGCAGGACAGGAGGGTCTCAGATGGCACTGACACCCACATGGCCCTAGGGTCCTCACCCTTAGGCTGCCCTGTCCCTCCCAGGACTGGGGCCTGGTTGGGGGACTGAAAAGCTTGGCTAGCCTGGGCCTCAGATGCTCCGGGGCCTGCCCCTCCCCACCAGACAGCTGGGACTGGGAGGCCAGGAGTGGGCGGGCATAGACTGGCCCAGGACTGTGATGTCACAGCGGTGCCGGAGGGGGAGGGGGTCGGCTGTTTTTCTGGAGTTAGAGTCAGAGCTAGACAAAGCAAGGGGCCAGAGACAGACGCCATGGAGCTGTGGTCCCAAGTCCTGCTGTGGGAACTTGTGCTGCTACAGAGTGAGTGGGGTAACACAGCAAGTGTGCAGGATGGCAAGGGGTACCCGCAGAACTATTGTGTATGAGGGGGACCCCACCAGGGCAGGGGGCAGCCGGGAGGCCTAAAAGAGAGCCTTCACCAGGAGGATTTGAGACCTTCAGGTAGACCCTGGAGACCTGCCCTCGGGATGCTAAACCAGGAAAGCCAGTGGCCGGGAGGCTGTGGTGGCAGCAGTGGGTGTCGGCTGTCATACCTCCAGCAGGCACCCTCGGACCCAGGCAGGCTGGGTGGGAGCGTGAGGCCCCCGGGTCTGCACTTCTTTCAGATGTGGGGAGCAGAATGGGTCTGAGGGTGCCTGAGAACTTTGGGGCTCCACAGCCCTCCCGTCACTGCCCCCCTGGCCTGCTGACCCCGCACATTCCTCTCCAGACTCTGGGCACACAGCCACTTCTCTGCACAGGAACTTGGGCCTGTGCAGAGCTGATGGGGGCTCACTCCCGTCCACTCTCAGGGCTCCACATCCTGCCCTTGCTGAGGGTGCTGATAGTGTCTTCACAGCCAGGACCTTCAACTGTCAGAGGGTCTGAGGACCTTAGGGCCTCTTGAGTTGTCACCCTCTGAAGGTGTAGGAGCCCCTGAAAACCAGGAGGTGGACAACTCCAGGCCCTGCCCCGGGTCAGGCTGAGAAGCCCTGGGTGGACTTAGTGTCTACCTGAGCTGTGGCCCCTAGTGATGACATATATACACCACCTGCAAGGAAGGGGTCTCAACCCAGCCCACTGCTCGGGCTGGGGACCCTGGTTTCTGTACTCCTAGAGTGCAGGCACTGGCCCAAGCCAAGGCAGGCAACACCAGAGCTAGGCTGCAGGACCCACCTCTGACTCCTTCAGTGTCACTCTGAGGACCCTGGGAGGGGCCGAGGGACCTAGCAGCTGACCTTGCCACGGGGTTGCTGCATGCAAAGGCCCCTACCCAGGCTCTCTTTTCTCTCCTTGCAGGCTCCACTGTCCTTCTCTTCTCAGGTGAGTGACCACCGCCTCCAGCTGGAGACCAGTCCCTGTTCATTGTGCCAGCCCCACCCCTTAGGGTGCCCTGGTGCCCCCTAATTCCCTCTTTCCCACCAGGGCCCTGGGGGCCTGCGACCAGCGACAGCTCAGTGGTGTCCGAGTCTGCAGTGACCTGGGAGGTGGGCAGCCAGGCGGTACTGCGCTGCCAGAGCCCCCGCATGGTGTGGACGCAGGACCGACTGCATGACCGCCAGCGCGTGGTGCACTGGGACCTAGGCGGCGGGCCGGGCCCCGCGCGCC